TTTTTTCTCAGATGCTAGAGTGCCCCCTGTGCGATGATGTCACTTCCGGGTGGTTGGTATGGACGGGGCTCTTTGGGGGTGGGGCTTCACCCGCCAGCGGGCTGGGTGGTGGCAGATTGAGGCCCCCAAAAGCGGGTAAACGCCCGCGCCCGTCGGAGGAATGGCAACCCTAGTCCACCACTTTAACCACTACACCAAGCTGTCTCTCTACACCGCACCAAGAAGAAATAGACAGTTGAGCCCGGAGAGCTTTTCAACTGGAGATGATAAGGACTCATCCTGGGACAGTCTACGTCCAAAACTACAGAGTTATAATCTCTCCTTGAGAGAAGGGCCCAAAAATGGTACTCTGGTTGGCTGATTTGAACGTATGACTCTCCCACAAGGTCAAGAAGCTACACTGAGATTTGTGGATAATCCTAACATTGTTTCCATGAACCAGTTAAAAACCCGTCATGGAACTGGTGATTAGAAATCGCAAGTTCTGCACATCCAGCACTTGGGAATAGTTTGTTTCTATGCCGGGACCTCTGCACGGATGTAAAATCAGGGCTCAATTTTAGTTCGTTGCTATCTCCTGTTGACCTTCCCCTCATGTGGCATTGAACGGTGCGGCTTCTGGGATTACTGAGGTTTTTCACAAAGCAGAACAGAAAGGGAATGGATTTCTTCTGTGGAATATAAACTGTGCCGTGGTACTTATTCAAAAATTGGTCTGTGACCTGCTTTTGTGTCTGTTGACTGAGAAACCGCAACAAAGGGACTGAAGCCAAACGGATTCTCAAGTTACTTTTGGTCTCCAACTGTAGTTTCTCTTTCATTACAGGAATATCATGTTCCCAACAGCGGCGAACACCCTGTTTGGAAAGGACATCTTTCTGAAAACCAAAAATAATATGAAGGAGTTCCAAGAGCACTTTCAGAACTATGATGACGATTTTGAATATGCCACCCAGCTGCCTGAGTATTTTATGAGGTAAAGCAGTAGGGTGTCTGTCTTCCTCAGGCCCGTAGCCTGCGTGGGGCCCACGGGGCCCGCCCCCTCCCTCCCGATCCTCTGCTCCCCCTCCCCCCGCGGCGGCGATGGGCGGTTAACCAGGGTGGGCCTCCGGGCTTCGGGACGCTTCCGGAGCAGCCTCTTCTGAGTGAAGGGAAGTC